CTAGATAAGCTAAGGGTAATTTAGCGCAAGGATAAGTAATTTATATAAATGCAAATTCACTCTCAAATTGGCAGACAACTGAAATACGCGTTGTTGTGAATATGTTGAGGTGGAGAAGTCGAGTTCAAAATTGCCATTTTACTACTACGCTATTCCTGAGCTCCACCTCTCTTTTAAACAGTATTTGACGGAGAGGAGGCAATCCATGTCGGTTTACTGTTAGTGGCTTAAAACCTTGGACAACTTTTGAAAAAAGGCTGAAGCATAAGTAAATTATAGAAACTATAGCACATTCAGGCCTCGGCACGAGGTCTCCGATTGAACCTCATGAGAACGATCCGCTTGAAAACCCAGAAAGTTATGAAGCTCGCTATGTAACATTTAAAAACGCGGGCAAGCAGGACAAGTGCAGCGGCGGTGGTCTAATGTTAGTTCCTGGAGCGCATTTCCTCTATTAAGATAACACGATTTAGGGCCGTAGCGAAAAAATAAGATTGCTTTGACTTGCCCAATGCGCAATAGCCAAGAGGTGCAGAAAAAGTGTTTGATATAAAGGAACCCAAAGTATGAGAAACAAAAAAGCATTTGCTAATTGGAGATCTGAGGTCTCTTGTAGGTCTCCATCTAAACCACAAAAAGCTACAGCGATTTCTACATTCTCATTATTATTCTGGAATTTTTCAAACACTCCTCTATGCTTAGTTGCGCATCTTTACGTCAATTTTGTGGCTGCTCAATCGCTATTCGCTTCGAAAAACCGGTTTATATGGATATTTTGAAATTGGCTTGAATTTCCCACATTGAAACAAGTGTGAAACCCGTATTGAAGCAGGTTTTTGAATGCCTATGGGGCAGTCACATGTTTACGGTAAAATGAGTATTGTATAAGAAAAAACCCGGACCGCATGTATGAACATCCCGCTAGAAAGAGGAGGGAGGCTTTTATATTCTTGTTACTGAGTGGAATTGAGGATGAAGTGCAAGCTCCACCTTGCATACAATATCCCCTTTGTTTACAATATCTAAATCCTTGCCCTCCGGAGACCTACCGATGAGGTCTAAGTGCACAATGGAAGGTATTTGTCGCTCCAACCCATAGGGGTTATCTACTATGATAAAAGATATGTTAAGTAGCCTTGAAAACAACTCAGATATAAATACCCTTTGGACTGCGGTATGGTTCATTCTACTACCAAGCTGACCCTTCTACGGCCACTGCTTCGTGGGTGCATTGAGGAGGCCTTGTGGTCATTCAGTCAATTCTGTAACGTTGCAGGTGCTGAAGAAAGATGTTAGGCCCCCGTATGTCTATGACCAAACTCTCTCCACTGGTGATCGATAGTGGATCGGGGATGTGCAAGGCGGGCTTCGCGGGTGATGACGCTCCGCGGGCCGTTTTCCCCTCCATAGTTGGGCGTCCACGACATCAAGGTGTCATGGTGGGTATGGGGCAGCGTGACTCCTATGTTGGCTCGGAGGCACAATCGAAAAGAGGTGCGAAAACTGATCTCACACTTGTTTGCCTACGAAGAACCCTATTTTCAAAGGTATCCTCACAATCCAATACCCTGTGGAACATGGAATTGTGACGAACTGGGATGATATGGAACGAATCTGGCAGCATGTCTTCAGCAATGAACTGCGAGTCACACCCAGCGAACATGCGGTACTTCTGACAGAAGCACCGCTAAATCCACGCTCTAATCGAGAACGAATGACACAAATCATGTTTGAGAGCTTTAAAACTCCCGCAATGTACGTGGCAATACAAGCGGTTCTCTCATTGTATGCATCTGGCCGAACAACAGGAGTGGTAATCGATTCTGGAGATGGTGTTACTCATACTGTACCCACTTATGAGGTAGATGGGTTACTGTAGCATCATGGTAGACTGGGAAAATGGCAATGTTTGTGCTATTTAAGGGCTATTCCCTGCCACACGCTGTGTTTCGCCTTGACCTTGCCGGAAGGGACTTGACCAATTATCTAATTAAGATCCTCACGGAACGGGGATACTCGTTTACGACAACGGCTGAAAGAGAAATTGTTAGAGACATCAAGGTGCCCAGTTATGAAAAAAATGTTAAAATTCATGACGGCTCAGAAAACCTGAGTTTTCTTTTGCAGGAAAAGTTATGTTATGTCGCTTTGGACTATGAACAAGAGG